CACATCTTCTGAAGCATTCATGCACATCTAATGGGCAATGAAAACTGTCAAGGAAGATGACCCTAATTTCCAACACAGTTAAAAAGGTCCTTGGAGTAATGATGAATGCTACTACTTGCTAAAGGAAGCCAGATCCAGCAAGAAGATAGATTGAATGAACTTAAGATTTTAAGATACCATAACTAATCCAAATTCATGCAGAAAAATCTTTAACAAGATGATTTTGTGGTATTTAATGCTTGATTTTCTATTCTAAGTGTGCTTTCTTTTTTCTCAGAATCAGTTTTGATACTTTTATCATTCAGGATCAATTTCTAGAAAAGGACTTCCAAGTGCTATCATTTTACTATGAACTATACTCCCCTTCAATTTATATTGTCTTGATGGTGTCCAAAAACCAGATGGAAGTAAGCTCGTTCCTCTAGTAACCAGCCATAAGCTCAGAAGTACACTCTGGCCAGCACATACAAGTTCCTCTTGCTGGGCAAGGAACAGCGTCTTCAGTTAGTAACTGAGTTCCTTGTCATTAGCCTAGCTCGCAGCCCTGTCCCAGCCAGGAGTACACTCAGATCCAAGTGAAGGGAAGAGCAGTCAAATGACAATCCCAGTGATCTTGCTCCAGAATTCTAATTAGTGCCTCTGGTCTACAGCCTGCTCAACTTCTGATTCAAGAATATGGGACTCAGCCTGAAAAACCAACAACTGTTTCCTAACCTCCATGACCAGAAAAACATCCCTACTTATACTTCAACTTTTGCCCAGTGAACCAAGCTACAACCTAGCTTTTCCCTGCTCACTATTCAGTGCCATCAGTGGAATGCTAACCATTCTTTTAAGGATGTCTATGTCCCCTTCAGTTACCTCTTTCTGCACAGGCCCTAGCTCTTTAAACACAGCTGGGTCAACCAAGTACTAGGCTGGAGAACAGATGAAAGCTTCCCCAATTCACAGCTCAACCCTCTTCCTAGCCTTCTTTCCACAACTCTATGGACAGCTGATTCTTAGTGTCCAGAAATTATTCAGACTTCTTTCCAGCTTAACTCATTCTCCCCCCAACCTCATCTCTCCATTACTAGCTTTCCAAGATCCCTTCATTTCTCCAGGACCCACTTTTGGCCTTTCTTTCTTCTACATTTTGCAGAATTCTGATTTTCAGCAAACTTATAAAATGGTAAAACTATCACAATCCAATGTTACAACATTTCTGTCAACTCCCCACAGTATGACACTGTATTGCCCCTGGCCACATGTGGCTACTTAAAGTTAACTAAAATTCAAATGCAGTTCCTACATAGCTCAGCAATACATATGACCACCGGCTACTGTTCTGCAGTGCAGATGCAGGACTTTCTGAACAGGAGGGTTCTGACTGGGACCCTTCACAGTTAATAATCAACACGGTTAGATTTAAGGGCCGTCTTGCTACTTACTCTCCATTTGTCCCACTTGCTTTCTGTTCACTCTTCCTTATCTTCTATTAAACTGAACACTCTATCATCATATCTTATCTTCACTATTTGCTTATTAACTCTACCTCTTTCCACCTTTTTTCTTTCTTTTTCTTATGACTGCTCTAGGGCAGTGGTTTTCAACAAGGAACAACTTGTCCACTAGGGACACCTAGCAAAGTCTGAAGACCATTTACGGCAACTAGGGCAGGGGAGGAGGATATACTGGCATCTAGTGGGCAGAGGCCAAAGGTGCAGCTAGGCTCCTAATGGTCCTTACAACCAAGACTCCCCCAGCCCAAGATGCCCTGGGCACCAAGGCTGAAAAGCCCTGCTGTGGGCTTTACCAAGTGCACCTCCAATTCATCACTCTCTTCAAGTAGTGCTCCAGCTTCTCACTGCGCCACCTCCTCCAGACTCGTGGCTGTGCTGTGGAGTGCCTAGCTAATCTAATCTACTTCTCTGGGCTTGATTTTTTCCTAAGAAGTAATAGATCGTCTGTAAGAATCAACGATGAAGGCAAAGTTAAGCACAGTTCCTATATATAACAGGTGCTGACTTCCCAGAAGATTTTAGGGATGGGAAAGGAAGGAACAGAAGGCCGAGAAAGCGAGCGGTCTAAGTTGTCCCCGTGCATGTGTGGCATGACTTGTTCCCAACACTTGTTCCTCGCCCTCTGCTGCTCTACTTCTAAATATGACGATGAGGCTGCGACCAACTGGACTGGCTGGCAAAGTTTGACTCTAAAGAGAATTTCAAGAATCTTTTGGCCTCTGATATATAATCCCTTTTATTTACCTACATTTAATTGAAGACATCTGTAAGTGGTGCCACACAAAATGTAATTCAGACTCAGAAATGTCAATAAAAATGTCTGTAAGGCAGAGGTCCGATGTAAACCTAGCAGGGAGTGCACATCAGCAGCCACAGAGCCACACAGAATTGAAGTAGAATGGAAATATGCGGCCTGACTTGACGAGGTGATAAAAGCTCTTTTCCCATAAAGCTTAATGAGCGCTATTAGTCTTCAGCTTACAGGAATGTAAAAGGGTCAGCTCCACAGAGGGAAGGAGCTGACTCTCCACACATGGTCCATTCAAATGACAACATATCAAATTACTGATGTAATTACTATAACCTGACAATTTCATTAGATTCATGTGGCAGTTAACTGTTTAGGACTTACAACAAAGGGACATGGTTCATTCATAGAAGCTTTTGTAGACAAAATTAAGTTTAAAGTCAGCTTTATTTTCAACTGCAAGTCTCAAGTATGTGTCTCTACCAAACTTATTTTTCTTTCCTTCAAAATTAGGTAGGTGTTGGGTATTTACCATATCTGTAATTTCCCTTCTTCAGCTAAAATAAACTTGATGGCAAAATTAAACATTCTGAGACTTCTAACATCCTCCTGCCTTGGCTCTGCTTGGGCTCTCAGGTGTTGTGTGGTGGCAAAAATACAGAATCCTGGGCTCAGGGCTGCTGAAGGAGCTCTGGGGGGTAGCTGCCACTCACTAAGCCATCAGGCAGGCCCTGTTTAAGTCCCAGCTGTGCAGGGGAGCAACTCAACTTAGCTGCCTTCTCCTTAAAACCCTTACTCCAGGTCACTCCTCTAAGTTCTTAATGAAACTCTATGACATGATTACAAAAACCACTATCAAGGCTACCAATGCACCTCTACCCACTGTGGGTCCTTTATTTGAAGAGTAAAATGATTTAACTTTTCATAGTTGATGCTAATATTTTGTGTATCTCCTCCTTTGATTACTATAAACTTTTAAAACATATTGACTAGAATTTGCATTTTACCTCATTGACTACTTGATCAAATCTAACCAAATGTTATTCAAAGAAACAGAATTTTTTTATTCTAAAAGATCATTATATGCAACATAATAACTCTTTAATTACACTTCACCCAAGTTGCCTTTTTATTATATATATTTTATGGACAAAATTATATATCCTTATATAATTAATTTTTTGATCTTTTCCTTTGTGATACTTCCTACTGCTTCTATAGTAGAAATTGCTTCTTCAATTAAAGAACAGACTATAAAATGTATATTGCCTGCAAGTTTCTTCTGGTTTGGTTTTTGCTTTACACTAAGTTCTTATTTAAAACTCAATTTTTCAGGCATTGTGCTCATGTTTGTTACAAATCAACTCATTTAATTTTAATGACCTTCTAAGTATTATTTCCATTTTTAGATTGCAAAACAGCAATGCAGGATGTCATTATTATAACCCAACAATTTCATTAGACTCATGGCAGTTAACGGTCCTTGGGCCACCTAAGTGCCTCCCATTTCAAAGCCCAGAATATTTCTTTGTTCCCACATGCCCCTCAGACACTGGAGGTTTAGAAAATGTGACCAAACCTGGATGGTACCAGTCTTTCTGGTTTGGTCCCTTTCCCTTGGAGATCACTCAAACTGGCCACCGGAGTGTTTAACGTGCCAGGGTGGGCACCATAACTCATCATGAACAAAAACTGTTTCAATAACCAAATGAACACAAGGTTACAGAAACAGAAAATGAATAACTGCCAGTATGTGGGGAGGTCAAAGATGGGCTTACAAAGGACATAAGACTGAGGCTCAACCATGGAGAGGAATGTGGTTTGAATGAGCTGGAAACAGGGAAAGAAGCACAAAGTGAAATAAGCAATAGATGCAACAGGAAAGGCAAGAGGAAAGCAAGGAGCAGAGCTGGCATGTGTGCGCTGAAGCATCACCTAAGGGAAGAACACAAATACCATAGGATTCCAGCAGCATGGTTCACACCTGCTCCTCTTTGTGGCCTCATTTGAGATGTAGGAATTATTATTTGCATTTTAAAGATAAGAAAACTAAGGCTCCAAGAAGCTGGGATCTGCCCAAGATCATGTGGCTGATGAGTGAAAACATGTTCTTTTTCCAGGTCTTGCCAATCACCTACAAGTTTTTCTGCAACTGCAGCTCACAATGATACCTGGTTCTCTAAACATCGAATCGTTTTTCTTTATCTTAAAATATAATTACTGGATCCTCAGTTCTGTACTGAGAACCAGGATGAGTGTTCAATGAACAGAAAATGAAGCACCCAAAACCATGCCTGTGTGGCAACAGAAGCTCGCTGCAAATCCCCTGCTCCTGTCCAGTCAACTCATGGGCTTTAAAATGGTCTCTCAAACCAGGTGAAACCTCCTCAATTACAGCTTTTGCCTGTGATTTCTCCAGGTCTCTTAACACAAGGTTGATTTATATAGAGTTAAATAAACAATTGTGGGAATAATGGAGATACAAGACTATTTAAAGTGAAGGACTGTTCACTGTACTTACTGAGAAAGAAATGAACTTAAAAAGGAGCAGTGACCAGTTATGAAGGTGAATAGCTGTAACTTGTAGAAAATTTTACCAAAAAAGGCTGTACTCATCCCATTACTATTATTGAAAAATGTGTTACTTCAAAATGATCACTCCTAAATTGTCAAATAAATGCCTAATGAAAGATACCAATATTGATACTCAATTAACAATTCTAGTATCAAAGTCAGTCAGTAACTCTTACCTCCAACGGTGAACTGCAAAGGAATCTCGTGAACTGCAGAGGCAAATTTGAGCAGAATCAATTTATCCAGTCAGTGGGCAAAAAAAGAGAACACAGAAAAAGGAAAAATCATTATACAATTTTCCAGTAAAAGCATCTAAAGTAAACCCAAAAGTCTATATAAAATTAGTGTTTTTATAACATTGTATGGCTCATCCACAGAGGATGAGAAGTCCAACTAGCCCACAGCCCTAGGTACCCAACTTTTTAAATTAGGAGAGTGAATAAATATTCCTAAATATTTGTATAAAAGCAAATAAAGCACAACAATTAGTACCCATTTTTTTTAAGTTTTATTTCACAACCTTTATCTTATAGAAACACCCTCTAAGGGAGAAATCAGCAAACTTCCTGACCTTAAATGCCACCAGCAAAGTTAAGTTACTGCCCCCAAAAAAGGGGATACAAACCACAGGGGAAGCCAGGAAAGGTGGAGATAGAGAACTGAGGACCAAGAGAGGAGGGAGGGCACAGGGAGGCTCGCTGTGGGGACAACCTGGCAGTCCTGCTCTCGTCTCTCGCTGTTTTTGCCTTCTTTTCTCTCAACTCAAATCTCCCCTTCCGCCCTTCCTTTTTGGCTTTCTCCCACTCTCCCTCCCTCCTTTACCCTCTCTCTCCTTTTTAATGTGTATCAGATTTCTAGAAAACCACCCAAAACAGCATTATATGCTGCTTGTCTCTCAGCATTTAAAGAAGGAAGCAATGGGCAGCTGGTGGGAGCGGGGTGGAGGGTGGCAGGGGACGACAAAGCAAATTGTAGGCTGGCTATGAAATGAGGACTGTCACATAGCTTCACACATGATGGTAATTCATGTTTTCACAGATATATTTACAGAAAAAAAAAAACATTTCAAATCCCTTGATATTTACTATAATATCTAAGTAGTATATAAACTCATATTTCTAAACACAAATTAACTACAATAAACTGGGCATGGTGGTGCACACCTGGAGGCTAAGGCAAGAGGATCATAAGTTCCAGGCCAACCTCTACAACTTGTTGAGGCCCTAAGGACTTAATGAGACCCTGTCTCAAAATAAAACAAAAAATGGGCTGAGAATGTGATTCAGTGATTAAGCAACCCTGGGTTCGATCCCCAGGACCCCCACACACACACCAAATTAACTACAATAAAATGCAATGGAAGGCCTGTTTCTAAGCACTCAGCTTCCTCTCCACAACAAAGCCCGGCAGCACTTAATAGGAGTTTAAATAATTTGTATTCTCCTTCAGAGACACACCTTGAAATATTTACCAATGAAATCATATGAGGCCTGGGATTTCCTACTAGATTACTACAGAAGGTAGAAGGAAGTAATGTGGGAGTGTGAGGATAAAGTAAGATTGTCTGTGGTATGAAACTAGTGAGATGAGGCATTGAATACATAGGATTCATTGTGATTATCTCTACTTTGTGAACATTTAAGGTTTTCCATAATAAAGTTTGAAAATATATTTCAGACACACCCTCCCCAAAACTCAATAAATATACTCCTAAAATATCACTAGTGCATTTCAAAGCTATGCAGTTGATTAGCATCACCTAGGGCCTAGATGACATGATACATTAAAATACAGACTCTAGAAATGTTTCCTTAAATATCCATGTGCAATTCTGTTATCTTAATGTTACGAGAACTTTCTGAAAGTGCAAGATACATCAAAATGCTAAGTCTTCGGAATGCTGATATGAAAGAAGTCTCTGTATTAAAACTGAAAATCCAAGCTTTGTAGTCTTGGATTCTCCTCCAGTAGCCCAACCAAGACAACTGCTATTCCTCCCCCCAGGAGTCACAAGTGCCAGTTGAAATACTACCCAATTTCAACAGTGGAAAAAAAAAAAAAAAAAAGCAAAGTGTGGTGAGTTTTTATTTTAAAATCAGAAATTTGGTATTACAGGGTTTCTACACTTTACCCCTGGAAGTGCATGATAACTATGTACACAAACTTTTGAGTATATAAGTAGTTCTGTAAGTGATACATTAATTAAGACAGAAGCTACTTTAAATAACAAGAGAAACATATAAATAGTAAGAAAACTAAGTTTCCTTGAAGCTCCATAACTTACATTCATCTTTGGCATGTATATGTGTAACATTTGTGTCACAGCTTTTTCAAAATAGAACTAAAAATTCTTATCTTGTTTGAACTGCCAAAACATGAAATACAAAAGTTTCCAATCCTGAAGCAGTAAAAACTGAATAACAAATCACAAGACACAGATTCACACTATTCCCAGACATGAAAGATTTCAGAAAATGCCGCTTCTCCATCAGCATGCCAAAAAAACCCATGGATATCCCATGTTTGAATTCAGTTGACTTCATAAGTCTCACAATGAAGTTATACATCTTATGTTAGGTACAGATGCTTATACCTTCAAAACTAACAATTATTAAAAAAAAAAAAAAAAAAAACGATTGCAAATACATTTTGTACATACACTGCAACTGACATAGAAAAAGTGCCCTTTTAACAAATACTACCATGCAGTCTTGTCATAGTAACAAAAAGGCTATAGCTCCCACTAGGCCGGGTGGCACACATCTGTAATCCTGGAGGCTCAGGAGGCTGAGGCAGGAGGATTGCAACTTCAAAGCCAGTCTCAACAAAAGCAAGGCACTAAATAACTCAGTGAGACCCTGTCTCTAAAGACAATACAAAATAGGGCTGCCCCCCCCCAAAAAGGCTATTGCTCAATTTTTCTGAGGCTAAAAACTACTAATAAATAAATTTTATTAAAGTTTAAAAAAAAAAAAAAGATTATGTCCATAGTGAGGACCCATATTTATACCTCAATTCCATTTTTCTAATATGGCTGTCAAATAAGAAATAAAGGACAGAGTTAATGTTTAAAAGATTCTGTTCAAGATATTTAGCATAATATTGAGAAAAATGAAATAAAGATTTTAGCATATTTTACACAATTATCTTAACTGATTTTAGATTCAGTAAGAAATTTTACAGAAAAGGGAAATACAACACCAAAATGCAATTTTTAAAAAGATAAATCACATTTCAAAAAATTTCTTCTACACCAAAGAATATCTGTGAGGCGTTTCCATCAAAGTAGATTTCCAAGTCTTATAATTGCTCCTACACATTCCCAGAACTTCCTTGCATTAACCAAATATTTCTACTGTCATAGTTCCTTTTATTTATTGTGTGACATTTGCTGTCTTACAAATTATCAAGGAACAGGTCTATTCTAAGTGGATTCTAATAAAATGTTATTTGGAATTGTGCAATTATCAATCTAAATCACATTTCAGTACAAAATCCCAAATTTTTCTATCAGGAATTTGGAAGCCTTAATTCAATTAAGATTCTAAATTAGCCAGGTATGGTGGCGCACACCTGTAATCCCAGAGGCTAGGCAGGCTGAGGCAGGAAGATCGTGAGTTCATAGCTAGTCTCAGCAACTTACCAAGGCCCTAAGCAAGTCAGCTAGACCCTGTCTCTAAATAAAAATTTTAAAAGGAGGGGAGCAGTGGTTGGGGATGTGGTTCAGTGGTTAAGTGCCCCTGAGGGGCAATCCCCAGTATGGAGGAAAAAAAGATTCTAAATTATGTTAAGTAACATTTTAGACCCCTTTCTCACAGCCTACAGTCCTATAATTTTTGGTACATTTTTACAACTATTTTTAAATTGTCTGCTTTAGTGTAAAACTGTTTTGTGTTAAGAATGTCTCTCTTATAAATCTACAATTCTCAGAAATTAATCTTATTTCACAAAAGAAATAAAGTTCATTGTTCCATATTTTACAACAGAAAAATAAAGCCTTCATATATAACCTAAAGACACAACTAGCCCCCATTTTTTTAAAAACTCATCCTAAGAATTAAGTCTGCACTTGAGGGAGTTAAAACTAAGGTTTGAGAATAAGGGTCTTGCTTATCCCACTAGTGGGGAATAAGAAAAGTAGATTCAGGTGATTCTCTGAAATCATTTTTTTAGAGCTACTCCCTGTTCCATTTGCCAGCAATGCATCTGAAAGGACCTTGCACACTATCTCTTCTGATTAGACCTAGAATCCTGAACAAAACATTAAGCATCAATACAGCTTAAGACGACAACGAAGATCTTCTTTACATTTTAATGTACTTAAACCTACGTCTTCTGAGTTAGTGAAAGGAAACGTGAACAGTTTCTCATCTGTAAGAAGATTTTGGGCAAACCACTTTTCTTGGTTTGTGCCATGGCATGCCAGGCTTTTCAGACATTTCTTAAAAATGATTCCATGACCAAACATACTCGGGAAACACTGTTTTCTAAGCTGCCTCACCTCTTTTCCTCCTTGCCTTCAAGACTTACAAGGTATACTGCAAATTCCTAAATTTACCAACAAGAAACACTTCAACTTCATTTCACTCAGTTATTTGCAAAGTTACCTGACTAGCGATTTTTGTTTATTTTTAATTTTATGTAACATCTATTAATATTCTGCAGAATCAATTTTCCACAAAACTTGTTCCAGAAAAAACACTGGTCCATGCCAGCTCTGATTTGGTTCCCCCATCTGTACTTACTAGGAACACCCCCTGAAAATACTCAGTATGGCTCTCAACAATGTAAAAAAAAAAACTCCATTATAAATGTCAATGAATCACTATTCTTTTTTCCCTTTAAAAGATCTGGTTCAAACCCAGTGACACCTCTCTCAAGGGGGTCCTTATAAGAACCTTCGGGGTTGGTAGATGGGCCAATGCTCAAGACAACACCATGGAAGGAACTATAATAAAATGCCCCAGGATGACTAGAATTAATAATCTATACCAACAGAAGTCAGAATGCAGTTAGCATATGGGGGGACAGTTCTGACTGGGAGGGAGCACAAGGGAGTCCTGAGCATGCTGAAAATGTTCTCTCAATCTGAATGGTGACTCAAGAGTATATACCAATATATTCAACAAGGCATACATACACCTAAGACTTACATACTTTACTAATACAAATTAAAAAATTAAATATTAAAAAGCAGAAAACACTACCA